CACCTTTGGCATACTGCACGCAACGAAGCTATTGCCATTGGTGGGAAGGGGAGACTGATCACCTCCCTGTACCTGCAGAAGTTGGTTTTGAACTGTTGAACAAGCTGTCCATTTTCATGCGTATATGTTGCTAATTTGAGATTATCTCAGAAATCAGAGTTTCCCACTGTTTTCCCTACTCGACTGACCAGGATTTTGGACCTAGGAACCCTCAAGGCATGAACTACTTCATCACTATAAAGTTCCTCATTCGAGTAATGTTACTCAGTAACATGCTCCCATCAGCAGTGTGTGTGTGTGTAACATCTGAATAGATGTAAAACTTCTTCTCTCTCTTTTTCTTCCTTTGTCCTCTCCCTTTCTAAATCTAAATTTAATGCAGGGGGCCACCGGGGTCCCGGGGGGGTCGGTGGCCACCGAAGACACCCCCCCGGGACCCGTGTAAACGTACCTGCATTAATCTAATAATCTAGGCTGGTTTGCATGTTTCAGGATTCAGTTCCTGACGGATCATATAATGATCCATTCTTGTCTAGTGTGATTTCCATGGTGGCTCCGACATGGTGCCATGGAGCCATTGGAGGCAACCCTTTTCAGGGTGAGTGTTGACAGACTTGAATTCGGAATTCACGCATTTTAACTTAGTAATTCGTCTAAGTAAAGGGCAACAATCAGCCTTGCGGTTTTCCAGCCTTTTGAGATTGTCCCGCTGATCTTGTGGTCCCAGGGATTACTCGCCGATGCGTTTCTTCAACTGTGAAGCTGTTCTGAATTGCCAGAAACTTCCTTTTTATCACTGCAGCTTGCGCATTTGAAGTTCAACATGACATTCACGACAAAAGGCAACAGGCATGTCCTTTTCCTGCAGGTGTGGTCTCTTTGGTTTTTGGTGAGGTGAAACATATTGTGCATCTAATTCGATGGAACTTGGAAGCTGTTTTATGCCATTGCGGCACGACTTGACCACGGTCCCGGTGCAGGGAACAATCGCACGACTTTTTAGGCATTTAGGGACTGAATCCTGTTTATAATTAATTGTTTTGGTTTTCCTGTCGGTCATCAACTAGTCCCCCATTTGGTCCCTAATTCTCCCCGCGTGCCTCTCCGTAATGTGTCGTGGGGTTTAGGTGTGTGCGCTGTTTTTGTCAGGTCCGTTTCGCCGTGTAGGTTGGTTCCGGAGGTCCGTCTGTTCCCCTCCCCCCCCTGCGCTGTTTTTGGCCGTTTGCCCGTCGTGTGTCCGCTTTTTTCTTCCTCTTGCCTTTCAGGGTTGACCCGGCTCCGGCCGGGTGTGTGTGTGTAACATCTGAATAGATGTAAAACTTCTTCTCTCTCTTTTTCTTCCTTTGTCCTCTCCCTTTCTAAATCTAAATTTAATGCAGGGGGCCACCGGGGTCCCGGGGGGGTCGGTGGCCACCGAAGACACCCCCCCGGGACCCGTGTAAACGTACCTGCATTAATCTAATAATCTAGGCTGGTTTGCATGTTTCAGGATTCAGTTCCTGACGGATCATATAATGATCCATTCTTGTCTAGTGTATGTTGGTGCATGGATCATCTGAGAGAAAATTAAAACTACAACTTCATGGAAATGTGACACTTTCAAGCTGTTGGTGGCGGACTTTCCTGTGCGCATCCATGATGACCAAAGCATTTCTCGGCCTGTTGAGGAAGTTTTTGGCCCCCCAGATCAGTTTGAAAACACTCCCGTCTCGTGTTGTCAGACAAAGAAACTTGTTGGCTCTTCAGTCTGATTTCCCAACAAATACTTTTGAAAAACAACTCGTCATTTAAACAGTTCCGAAATTTACCATTATCATGAAATTTATCCCCAATGACGTTGAATTTAGAGTAAATCTCGTTTGATAAATGTCCCAATCGATTCTTTTACTTGCTGTAAAGGTAGTTGATGCCCAATTGTTACTTAATATTAGCACAGTTGATAGATTAGATATGATTGATTAGCGCTGTGTGGAGCTTTTCCCGGGCTTATAAATCAATGATTCTTATCATTGTCATGCTCTTTGATATTCACCACACTTATAATATAGCCATTGATATTCATGGACTCAGAATCATGAATATTAATTGGATGGTTCATTCTCCAAATGGTGGATGTTCCACATCTATGTTAGTTTACGCCAGGTTGCTGCGCACCGCTGGCTTCTCACGCCTCGACGAACGTGTGCGGCAGCCTGATACGCTTACAAGATGCGCTCTACGCCACGGTGGTCTTGGGGATGTTATGATACTAATATGAGATGATTATATCATATACTGTGTATATTATGTATAACCAACTAAACTTGACAATTTTGATACTGTATAGCCTTTGGTCATTGAACAGTTTGCGAAGTGGGAGCCATGGCTATGGTCCATTTAAAGTTAATTTCATGATTTATAACGATCAAAAAAATATGGTGGTTTTCGAAAGCTATCTTAAATTACCGGACAGTAAATGGAGCAAGCATATTAGCAGAGTTCAACCCCACCCTTGAATGGGACTTGGAGTGATTTAAATTGGAGCTAGCCATCAAATACGACATTTAAGCATCAAAATGACGGGGATATAATTGAGAAATGATGGCTGATTTGTGATCATGTGGGGTTACTCTGTCCAATATGCATATCTACATATTGGGCGCTCATGTATATTATATCCTATATATTTATTTATTTATTATATATAGATATAGATAATAAATATAATATATATAATAGGGGATTCTCACAATCTATTTTGGGATCCACAGCTCCATTGCCTGCTCAGTAGACTGTCAAATTACTTTGAGAGTGATTGTTGTTTGTGTAAAAATGCAGAAATATGGCCATGGATTGACATTCATTGGCAGTTTGTGTCCTACAAGAATCAGATTGTTGTGTGAGTTTGGCCATATTTATGCTTTGCTTGAGGGTCTGTGGACATGGGCTTCTAAGAGTTAAGGAGCCATCTATTTGGGGTGTCCAAGTTCCCATTTGTGGGCTAATTTCAATAATTCACTACTTCATATATTAATTTATGGTAATTTGTAATGTTATATATATAGCCAATATATATATATAGCCATATATAATACATTATACCCCAAATGGGGACATGTGTTTGGCAGATTCTTACCATCATTGATCATTGGTTGGTGACTATTTGGGGTAGGACTCTCCCAATACAAATGGATAGTGAAATGTCATGGTAAGGAAATGGCGATTTGCCGCTGGATACTATATGACGAGCTGAAATGACTGAACTCCTTATTAGCGAAAGCTATTAGACATGCGAGACATGTGCTCAAATCGGTGTGCGATTGATTGTGAGCTTTTCAGATGTGCGCATGAACCAAAATATGTGTACCACAACTGGTTGGTGGTTTGGAACATGTTTTATTTTTCCATAATATATTGAATAATCCTTCCCATTGACTTTCATATTTTTCAGAGGGGTTGAAACCACCAACCAGACAAAATGATGGGTTCTGCTGAATGTGCCTCCCCCATTTGTGATGCTGAAACCATTTGATGATCTCTTTGAATCCTCGATGGTCGGAGCGAACAGTACCAGCCATTCGCTCCGGTTTTCTTACACGTGCATCATGGTGCTGCAAACATTATCAGTTATATATATATATATTACTCATGAATATTCATGAATTATATTTATCATTTGACTTACAAATGCAAATCAGTCATTGATCAGTCCGTATCTCCCAAATGACTCAGTTTTGTCAGTTTTTTCTATGCCAGAATCCGTAAACCCCACGAGATGGAATCCGTAAAGACCAACTGAACTAGTCCGGTGTTGTGACTATTCTACCTTAACTAATCTAAATCCAGTTATAGCATCCAGAACCAGTTAAAGCATCTTAACTAAAACCAGTGAACTAATCTAAATCTTATAGCAGTCTAACTAATCACTATGCCACTTTGCTTTAGCCCCTAAAAAAAGACCAAAAAACGGGGACGGTTCAGCCTCGAAAGGCTGGTTGCTGTGCCATGGATCCTCAGCAGGCAGGGGGAGAGATATGGGGGTTCATTCCCCTCAAAAAGATTGTATAATAATGATAGTAAAGTTATGATCATGTTATACTAATGTTTGACATATGGTAATGAATAGTAATATGTATATATATATATATGATATGGTTTATACTATTGTACATTAGTTGTGTAAATAGTAATGTATGCAATAATTTATGATAAAATTAAATATGCATAGACATGCATAGGTATTTACGAGTACAATAATGTATATGATAATGTGTTTCTGATACATATGTTCATACTAAAGTAACTATTAATAGGTATATATGTAAAATATTGTATAATACATGTGTGCATGGACATTGAACTAGGAACTCTATAGAAAGTCTATAGGAATTGATCCATCCCCGTTACCAGGCTCGAGAGGTCATGCTGCCGAGCAATGGCTTCGTGCTGATGGACGAAAAGGCTTGGCGTTGATGTGCCCAGATGTGGTTTCCAAAGATGTTGGGTCCCCTTAAATCCATTGGTTAAACATTGTTAAACATGTGTACATTACATGTCCATGGTATTGTGTTTCTATGAAACCCTATGAACACTTGATATTTTAGGGCTAGGTCTCTTATTTTCAGACACACCCATAAGGCCAAAATTATGCCAAGTTTGAGGCCCTGGGGGATCTACCCAACTTGGAAAAGACTTTGAGCCATGCACAACTTACGACTTGGGTCTTCTTCGACCCAAGACCCGAGAGCCTCACTGCCTACAGGATGGTTTTACCTGTGCCGAGGCTTAGTTGTACCCCGCTTGATTTGGTAGGTATAGACAGCTATGATTTGGGGATTGGTTCTGATTGTAATATCTGTATTTCTGTGAGTCTATCCCCAACTTTGGCTCTGAATTCATTTCAGTCATTTTAGCCGGGTTTTGTTGCTCCTAAGAATCTTTGGGCCATGGCTGGCCCATTGCCACAATGTGGGATGGTGCAGGCGGCAACGGCATCCACGGACTTTGTGCGAGCGGTGGAGATGGATATGGACCTCCAGTGGACACAAAGCAAGGTGCCGCCCTTGACTCTGGTGACATCTGGTGACTATGGGGATGACCATTGGATCCATTGTGGATCATGAAAACTTACCATTCGGATTGGTCAATCTTTAGATGGGTAGAAACTCATCCGTTAAATAATCTTTTGGTATCAATGGGATTATCTACGTTCACCAGCTAAGAATTTATTTTTTGCAGTGTATCTAAGATTGGCCATGATTTTTGTTGGATCTTCCAAGAGCTTTGATTCTTTCCATTATATTGTTGGATGATCGCAATTCTCTATATATACTGCAATGATCCCGATGAACTCTATCGCCACTGATTGGACAGAACATGAGGAATTGGGACAAATAAGTATTACTGTAACTAATAAGACTTATTCCAATGGGTATAATACCACGTAGTAGTGTCTATAAAACCCTATACTATACCAATTAGTTCTTAAATCAATGGGTTAATACTTGGTTAATCACTAGTTGGTAGAATATCCCAATTGTTTTAAAAACAATATAAAACCATATTACATAGAGTATCCCATGTTATTAACGAATTATTAGCCATACTAATTTATACCAAACAGTATTTTTTTTTCCCAAGGGATACCATGAGCCTGAGATCCCTTGAAGCCTGGCCGAAGATCCTCCCAGGAAGCCGAGTCGTGGCGCTCGAAGTTGAGATTTTTGAGGCCTCCCAGTGGAGACGTGGATGAACCCAGCGCGGATGGTTCATCAAGGCTGCGCGGTTGGTGGGCAAAGCTCTGATTTTATCATTATATATATACCATACATTATATATATGATATACGGCAATATATATATATATATGATATGATATGATATGATATATATATATATATATGATATATATATATATGATATGATATATATATATATGGTATGATATATAGATATATGATATGATATATATATATATATATATATGATATATATATAATATAATATATATGGTATGATATATAGATATATGATATGATATATATATATATATATATGATATATATGATATAATATATATATATAGATATATGATATATAGATATATGATATGATATATATATATATATTTATATGATATATATTTATATGATATGATATATATATATATATATTTATGATATATATATATATTTATATATGTATATATGATATGATATGATATATATATATATATATCATTTCTATTGAACAAGAAAACCGGGAACTATCCAATTTGAAACCATCTGTCAGGATATTGGTGTCCTGTGCTTCAATTGGATCTAGCAAGCATCGAAGAATTACACCAGAACTTGAACAAAAGCCGTTGATTTTTTTTTGCAAGATTGATGTAGATTCATAAACCAGTAGATTCATCTACAGTTTACCAACCAGTGTTCATTGCCATAGTTTTTTTCAAACAGAACCGGAGTTTCCAACCGCTGTTTTCCGGCTTCACAGTACTGGGTCCGTATCCCTTTGATGGATACCAAGCACCAAACCCCAACATTTTGGCTGCACAAGTTACAAGACATGTTACATACATTCGCACAATAAGTGGGTCACTAACATGGTTCTACCAGTTCTACCATGTTCTACCATCCGTTTGTGTTTGTAAAACTTCCCGTTTGTTTCTTTAAGGCAACGCCATGTCATTGAGGTCATGGAGGAATTACGCGCCATGAAAGAAAAGGCGTCGGGTGCCTAGGACGTGGCGAACTGATGATGGGATGAGAGTCGGCCATGGCTGATGTGGTGGTTCAAGTAGAGCTCTACTACTTGGTTTGATGGTGACAAACTTAAGGACACAATGACAATGTAGTAACAAATTTATGCCCAATTTCCAAAGCTGATGAAACCCCTGGAGTAGAAAAAACAACCAATAATAAAATGGCCCATTCTTGGCTTTCCACCTCACCCCTGGGACATGACATCACATAGGTTGAAGGAGAATGCTGATCTTCGAGTCTCTCAGGCGCGAAATCCACCAGAATTCGTTGCTTCATCCCACTTAGATACTCAGCAAGTCGCTGAAATATCCCTGGTTATAAATGGGATACGTTTCGTGTGAATCAACTTATAACTGGGGTTGTAATATAACCCACAAAAAAATTTGTAGGATGAAAGCAGTAAGTATGACTAAGTGACTACGGTTTGCGACTGGGATCTACATCTAGTAATCCCAAAATAGATAAAAGTT